GGACCTCCCCCGTTAACCAGGACTGCTGATAAATGATGGAGATTGGCTTGGCAAGCTCCTCCGCCAGCTCCCTCAGCGCTCTTAGGTGGATCCCATCTGGCCCCATAGACTTGTGAGCATCCAGGTGGCAAAGCAGGTCGTTAACTGCTTCTTCTTGGATTATGGGAGGTTCATCCTGCTCGCCGTCCCTGTCTTCTAGCTCAGGGGGCTGAGTACCCTGAGGATAACTGGTCTGCCTGTTAAAGACCGAGGCAAAGAAGGCATTAAGTACCTCAGCCTTTTCCTCATCCTCGGTGACAATGTTCCCCCACATGAAGTGATCCCCCACATGAAGTGAGGCATGTGGAACCTCTAACTCTTGCAGGAAGGAACGCTAGTTTGGGATTACAATAGATAGTTCTGTGGGAACACCCATTTAGGCTCAGAAAGATTAATTCTATGAATTGTTAGGATATCAACAGAGAATAAAATAAAATGGGCCATTGTCTAGGTCCATGGTGCATTTGCATTAGACTGCTGTATTGGCGCAGGCTTGGGAGCGCCCTGGGAAGAGCACTACTTCTATGTATGTCTAGGTGGCTGAGATATTTGTCTTAGTGTAGGTTATAATACTTTTTTTTTTTTCTTTTGCAAAGGTCTTCTGAATGATAGAGTAGCTTCAATAAATATCTCAGGTTCTTTGCTGTTCAAAGAAACATTGTGATGTGTTTCATGTGATCAGATGTAGTACTGGAAAGGGCTGTACTTAGCATGAAATCTACCACTACACTCAACACCTGAGGATATATCTATTTCAAAGCCTCTGGAAAGTAAAGACAGGAGCAATGACTATTAAACTGTAGAGTAAACTTGGCAATGTCAACTAGGTAGGGCACTTGAATCTTCTTGATTCCCCCTGAGTGCAGGGCCCCATGAGTGCTGGGATTTATGCAAGGGGCAAGAGTCGGCCATGTGGAGACCGCTGAGGAATTAAAATTTGAATTTGGAGTCGGTGTTCAGACCAGTAATGGAGTTGCATGAGCAGCCAGTATCCTCCTGCAGTTTGGTAGGCTGGAGTGGAGGACAGGACTCTGATGGCTAGGGAAAATATTTGAGGATGTGAATTTACAATAGTTTGAATGGATTGATGTTGCAGCTGTGGTGTAGCCACCTGGTTAACAGTTGCAGTACCTTTCTTCCCTCCCTTTCACCTTGTGTTGGTACTGGAGCTTTTCTTCCCTCCCAGAGTGTTCAGGGAGCTGTACCAAAGACCAACATTTCTGAAAATACAAAACAAAAAAAATCAAATGCTTTAGCTTCCTGAACAGGCTGTTTCTGGGATAAACTGATGCCAATATAAGAGAGAGAGGAGCGCATGAAAGGGGGCAAAGAGGAGAGAGAGAAGATGATGCTTAGGACTGCTGTGACAGAAAGCTGTTCTCTTTGAGACACTTTGCTGTTCCTCGAGCATATTTAGCCTGCACTCTTACAGACATGGGATACAGGGGCCTGCTCTGGGTAAGAAAATATATTGAGACCAGTCTCAAGATG